GGGGGGGGGGGAGATAGACTGTCTTCCCCTCAGTGCACCCGGGCACCCGCGACTCTCTCCCCTACCGTATGCTCGCCACTATCCTGCCAGCGGTGTGAGGCTGCCAGAGAAGGACTGGCTAAACCTCACCTCCTGGTGAGGTCCATGGCTTGGTGGAGACTTGAACTTGGGGCTGTCAAGCCCCAGCTCAATAGTCCACTACACGCGCTCCGTCGTCGCTCAGTGCAACAGAAGACAAGAAGTTCAGAACTTTCTGACAAGAAAAGCTGGCGTCGGCCTCATCTGGAAAAGCTTTCAGTAGCCACCGGGCGATGCTTCAGGTGAATTGAAGGCAATGAGTCAAGAAGCAGTTCAGGACAGAAGCTGCCCCGCCTCCTGTTTCTAACACCAACAGCAATGATGATGATGATGATGATGATGATGATGATGATGATGATGATATGTCATCAAATCAATTCTGAGTTATTTCGACCCTTTCCAAGGTTTTCAAGGTAGAGAGTACTCAGAAGTGGTTTCCCACTCCCGTCTTCTGCGGGTGCCCTGGGACTGTGCAGCTTGCCCAAGGCCACAAAGGATGGCTCTACTCATAGGAGGCACCCTGGAGAAATCAAATTCCTAACCTTTGGCTCTAAGTGATGTATTAATAAAGAAGTGGCACAGAATGCGGGGTAGTGATCTGTGCACCTGTAATTCACTTAATTGCATAATGGAAGGCCAGTAACCTAGGAAATGGAATTAAACAGCGCGCACGCACACGCACACACACACACACTTCACTGCATTCACCAGCTCAAATAATTAGACACTGCTTTAAAGGAAAAAAAGGGGGAAAGTTTTATCCTCTGTTTGTAGACTTCAGTACAATACAGGCTCGAAAGTATTACAGAAGTCACTAAGATTTTAGTAGAAAAGACTTTTAAGAGGGAAATATTATAAACAAGTAGTTTTACGTAGTCAAAAATATCCCATCTTGGATGATTTACTCGTATACATGGTAGCCTTAGTGTAACCTTTGCTCAGGGATGTTGCTGATTATAGTATGATTAAGAAATAACTTATTTTTGTTGATCCGTTGTTGCGTGTTGTCCTGGTCATGCTTATTTACATTTGTATTCAAGCTATATTTAAAGGGATGACATTTGTATTCAAAGGAATACATTTGTATTCAAGCTATATTTAAAGAAGGACTGCACTGCTCAAAATGATCTTTAAAAGTTTCTCTGGTGACCAAAAATGCAAAACTGCCATGTTGCATTGTGCAAGATTGCCATGTTGCAAAAACTGCACTCGTTAGCTCCAGAGGTTCTTACCAAATACTCACCTGAGCTGAGGAGTAAGAGTTCAGACACAAACTAGGATTTCAAAGTTTTATTCTGCAGAACACAAGAACTCACAGGAGCTAATTAATGTTCAAAGATATCTTTGAACATTAATTAGCTCCTGTGAGTTCTTGTGTTCTGCAGAATAAAACTTTGAAATCCTAGTTTGTGTCTGAACTCTTACTCCTCAGCTCAGGTGAGTATTTGGTAAGAACCTCTGGAGCTAACGAGTGCAGTTTTTGCAACATGGCAATCTTGCACAATGCAACATGGCAGTTTTGCACTTTTGGTCACCAGGAAAGCTTTTAAAGATCACTTTGAGCAGTGCAGTCCTTCTTTCACAAAGCATTTAACACAGCTGCCTCAGTATGGGAGTCTTGCATTAAGCAATTGTATATGTCTTGGGCTTTCAGGTGAGTTTCTGACCTCCCTCCATAATGAAAAATTATTTTCTATCAATTTAGGCAGCTTTTCTGAGTTATCACGGTTAGCATCCATCCTTCTATTTCTGAGCAAAACAAAATTGCAGCTCTGTTTCTTTAGCAGGTACTGTAATGCACTTAGTTTGGGGGGTGGGTGGGACAACACAACCCTTAAACTTCAACCCAAAAAACCCCAAAATACTTGCTAAAATCAGTTTTTCTGCTTGTGACTACCAGGGTCTGGGCTCATAGTATTAACAGCAGGAATACCTTTAATTCCCTTAACTGCAAAATTGAAGGTCAATAACCTAGGAGTCAGCATTAAACAGCAAGTTCCCAGCTCAAATAATTACTCTGACACTGCTTTAAAGTAATAAGGAAAAATAGTTTTGCTCTCTGCTGTTTGTAGACTTCAGTATAGTACAGGCCTGAGAAACTTTGTATCAGGAATGAAAAGAGAAAAAGAAAAAAACAAATTTGGCTCCTCTCAGCCCACATGGTTGAGGGAGAAATGGTGGACATGGGACAGAGCTGATCTAGAGCATTCATGCCCTTAGGTGTCCCAGTTGGAAGGAGAGAAAACAAACTCCTAAATAAAGGCCAATAAACCTGAAGAAGCAGGGGAGGGGGCATCTTTGCCCACCAAGAGAAAAGGTCAGCTCATTGGTCAGAAAAGGGGGACATGCAAGCAACCTAGCATATTAGTTTGATAGAACTTCCTCTTAGATGATCATGCATTCATATGCATACTGCATTGTGAATAGAGATGTTATCACCACCTGCACAGGCGCAGGTGGTGATAACATCCTGGTCAGGTTATCATCACCTGCACAGGTGGTGATAAAAAGGGTCCACTCAAAATTCTGCCACTGCTGTGACCTCCACGATCCTTTCAATGGCTCCGGAGACAGCGATTGGCTCGCCACTGCTGGGAGGAGGTGGGACAACAAGCCTCTCTGCCAGGTCGAAGAGTGGCTCACAGATCGTGATCTCCAGAGACATTGGAAGGATCACAGAGGGCGCAGCAGTGACAGAATTGTGAGTGGACCGGCTGGCCCCATGGGACTGGACCCTCGTTATGTCTACCTGTGTAGGGGTATTCATATTTGTATACAAATACAAATACCCCCATCTCTACTTGTGAATGTTCCTGACTAACTCCTCTCTTACAACAGTTCTACTGTCTGTTTTTAGGTTTAATTCAAAGTGTGGGTTTTGATCTCTAAAATCCTAAATGACTTTGGTCCAAGTTGTCTGAAAGACTGCATCTCATCTCATCACCCTCCCAGCTATGCCTGATGATAACATGAAAGAGACATTTTCAGCCACTGCTCCCAAGGTATGGAACTTCCTCCTACAGAGGTGGCTTGTTCATTGTCCTTCAATAAGCAGACAAACTTACATCTTGAGGCAGACTTTTTCTCAGTAACTGGCTGCCTAAGAGGGACACTGCTGCAGTTTCCTTCCCCTTCCTCTTCCCAGTCTATTGTAAGCTGCCTTGGGTTATCTTAAGGAGAAGGGCAGGGTATAAATATTTTAAATAAATAAATCTTAATCAGTTAAATATACAGTAACAAGTAATTAGATGAAATGAAAGTCAACACTCCTCACTTCCTATAATGTTTTCATACTGTTTTAATGCATAGTTTTTAGTTACAAAGGTCTTCTGGAGGGGGGGGGCTCTGAGTATGGATCTCTGTGGCTGAGTGACATGCCTTGGAGATCTTTACAGCTGGATGGCTTGCCTTGAAAACAAAAGTGGTGATAGCTGTTGCTGTATTGCATCTATGAAGACAAAAACAAGCTCCAATATTTGAAATGATTTTACTGAAGTGAGAATGTCAGAAAATGCATCATTTGTCTCTCTGCTTGACAAGCTGCATCCACCACTATTTTAATTTCTACACCAGTCATTTTCAATGTTTAGCTTTCTGATTTTGGATTTCAACTTTCAGAAGCCATAGCCAGTATAGCCAATAATAAGAGATTCTGGGAGTTGAAATCCAAAACATTTGAAGGTCAAAAGGTTAACAACAAATGTTCTAACACAACTATTAAAGAGAAAATGACTTTTTCCCCTCATTTGTCCTTTCTTGTTATGCAGGCCTGTATTTGATTCACAACAGATGTATATAAGAATACATTAGGGCAGTTGGAATGACTGATACTCTCAAATAAAAATGGAAAACTTCAATGTTAAATTTTTATTATTCATTTTCAAAAGATGGGCAAAAGCTTCAATTTTGCATACAACATCTAACACTTAATTCAATTGTCTTAATACAAAAATGTTATGTAGTTGTGAAAACTTTAAACATGCTGATAAAGGTTCCTAATAATTTTATTTGTCTCTGTAATCTTAGTTTTGCTAACCTTCTCCATTTTTTAAATAGTAAAATTGTGCAGAATAAGGAAGAAACTATATAATGTGTTTAAGAAGCAGGTATTTATACAGTTGGTTGGATTTCAGTGTGCTCTTCTTACATTAATCTTGATTTACTTTTAAAACTTTGCTTATTTTTTATTTTAAAAACTGGAGAATTCAGAAAACCTTTATCTGTGAATTCATCTCCTCTCCTCAGTTTGCTGTAAAAGAAAAATGAAGCAGTCATGTACATCATTAAGGTTGGAACTGATCTGTATTCATCCATACAATGTAATTGGCACATTTCTAACAAATATACAGTATATAGAAGCTGTACACTGTCATTCCTGAAATTGCAAATTTGCTCATGTCACCAAAGTTATTAGTTATTCATATCTAATGGGAAGTATGGAAGAGAACCAAAACTCTTTGAAACTTCAAGTCTCTAGGTTTTATTCACACATTGTTAAGAACACTGGAAGAGCCTTTTTGGATCCAGTGCTAGGAAATGTTAACTCAAAAGGTAATGTATTACTATTGGTTTTAAAATAAAAACAAAAATGTTGCTCAGTATTTATTACCTCTTAGTGATGCATTACTAACACAATGTCCAGAACCCTATTGCTAGTGTAGGCGCAATGATGTAAATCACAGTAGCAAATTGTCACTAGTTAAAAAGTCACTACTGTACTTGTATTCTTTATTATACACCAATCACGTGATTTGGCACACAACAGGAAATACAAATGGCAAATTATTAACTAGTGGCAATTAACTGCTGCAATTTATGCCATTACATTTTTCCCCACCTGCTATGTTTTTTCTAAGGGAACTACGTAAAAATATAAATAAAGCTAAAAGTAACATTTGGAGTAATAAGTTAACGTGACCTCAGGGGTGATGGAAGTGCAGCCAATGAGCCCAAATATAGCCCCAAGGCCCCTAATTCATCATTCTAGTAATTGCAACATCATCTCAGTACCTCCTTGTGTGATTCTTAGGGAACGTGGAAGGCAAGTGTGTGATGCTTTGGGCCTTTCCCTCAGTTGCTTCAGATGGAAAGGTCAGTCAAAAGGTCAAAGGTCAGTCAAGACAATTTCGGAGAAGGTGAAATTGCTCACAGCAGCCATAAGAGGGTTGGACAGAGGCTTTTTCAATTAAAATATATAGATTTCTGGGAACAGGGCATTAAAGCAGGGACAACTTTCTACGTTCAAGGAGTGTGCACTAGAGATGGGGGTATTCGTATTCATATACAAAGATGAATACCCCCGCACAGGTGGACATAATGAGGGTCCAGCCCCCTGGGGCCAGACTGTCCACTCACCTTCTGCTGTTGCCGCGAGCTCTGCGCTCCCTTCCTATTGCTTCAGAGCTTGCAGTCTGCAGTCACTCCTGGCAGGGGGCAGGAGGACGAGCCTCGCTGCCAGGTCGAAGAATGGCTCACAGACTGCAAGCTCTGGATTGATAGGAAGGGATACGGAACCTGAAGCAAAAGCAGAAGGTGAGTAGACGGTCCGGCCCCAGGCTGGACCCTTGTTATGTCCACCTGTCCGGGAGTATTCGTATTTGTATACGAATATGATTACCCCCATCTCTAGTGTGCACACCTGGTCCACCCAGAGAGGAAGTTGTCCACCCTGCATTGTTATCTAAAATAGCATTTCTAAGGTTGGGTTGGATCAGACTCAATCTATTTAGTCCAGCAACTGACAAAGACATAGGAGATAACAGGACTCAATTTGGGATCTTGTGATTCACAGAAAGCTCTCAAATAACCTATATATATTTAAGGAAGTCATTGGTATTGTGTGATTACAGAAAGCTATGCTGATGTTTGGTGAAGTTGGTTTTACTCCTGCAAGGAGAAGACAGTGACCTTTCCACTATTGCTGGATAGAAATCTGTGGGTATATTCCTTCTCAAACGTATGCCTATTTCACACCTTCTCTGTAAGTATCCTTTATTTAATTTGAAACTTGAAATCATGCAGTTAAGTTTTCTGCATTTAAAGTAATTGCAGAACTCCTAGAGTGTAATGGATGAGCTCCATCTTGGGAAAACTATTTTCATTATCATGATGTCACAAAACATTCACAGAATTATAGATCCCTAGATTTTCTGTGAAGATTAAGTTAGATTAGTAAAATATGTAGATGGTTTTTGCTGGTTGGTTATACATATGGAAATCATTGGAGCAGCATACTACTCAACAAAGTAAACAATGATTGCAAAATGAAATGTAAATTGCCAAATGAGGTATAAATCATATTTAGACATATATTTCAGTATAATAAAATAAGAAGAAAACCATCTTTGAAGCTGAGTATTAAGTACTAACCTCTTGATATTGGGTTCTTTGTAGCAAATTGTTGTTCGCCTGCGTCTAATAGGTGGTGTGGAGTTTTCTTCTAAATCTTTCTTGGGATTTGGAAGACAATGTATACTGATGTTTGTAAGTTCTTGAAGAGGTTTATTCCCTATGAAGACAGCTACACTTGAATTACTGATTATAAATAGTGAAATTAAATAACATTTTATTAGGACATGTTTTACTGAAGTTGAGAAAGTGTCAGTTTTGCTGGAGAGATTCGAGTTCTAATCCTGATCAATCATGATATTTGGTGACTTGAGACCATTACCACCCTTTAGACTCACAGGAGAATAAAATGGTAAATGCAACTATGTATGCCTTCTTAGAATCATAGAACTGCAGAGCTGGAAGGGACCATATGGATCATGGAATCCAACACCTGTAAAGAAGGCCCAGTGGGGAATGAAACTCCCAGTCTCTAGCTTCACAGCCAGATACCTAAACCACTGAGTTATCCAGCAGTTCTGAGGAAGAATGAGATGAAAATATAATTAATCAAATAACTATGGCTGCAGTTTTGCTGATGTTCATGTAATTGTTCTGCATAATTACAGATAATTAGCAAGCGGCCAGGAGCACATCTCGGTTGCACATTTGAGTATTTGATGAGGTACACTATCAAGACATGCCTGGCACCTCCTCAGTTATCCTAAATCAGCTGTGGCAAGTTATGCAGACATTACACAAACACCAATAGGATTCTGGCCTACACCTTTTAGAGGCAAACATATTGGTCCACAGGAATATAAATATATATTTCAGTTGAATTTTTAAGGCCTAAATCCATTAAAAGGCAATCTACTAAAATTCTAGAATTGGTTCATTGCCATTATCTTGAAGCTATTTGCTTGAAGCTGTTTGGTATTATTTATATCACAATTGGCTACCAGGTTTGGACAGAAAGGCATGATTTGTAAAAAAGAAGATGACATTCCCAGTGTGAGCAACTTCAACATTGCTGAAGTTATAATAAACTCCAAAAGTTACCTCCCATTCACATCTAGTGATATAATTGATAATTGAGAAGTATAATTTATTATTAGACTGATCAAATTGACTTTCAATTCTTATCCAGACTGTGAAGGGGAGACATGTTTAGACACAAAGATACAAGCGCTACTAAGTTTCAAACAAAGTTTGTTAGCACGTTACCCAATGTTTACCAATGTACCTTTCTCCTTTAATTTTACAGAATTCACCATAGTAATGCTGTTATCAAATTTAGTACTAGTACATGGTAACGTTTCAAAGTCTAGCAAAGTATCCAGATTACTCTGTTGGGGCAAAATTAAACTGTTGTAAACTGTGGTGCAGCAGAAGTCTACAAGAGGGACATATTGCAGGCACAAAGGGAAGGTGGTGTCTCCCCACTCAAATTGCAGTACCTACCATACCTCTTTTGTGTCCTAACAACTGTTCACGTAGCCCACTCCAACAATCTTATTCTACTACCGGCAAAGTGATCAAAGGTGGGCTGATTGTGCTCACCACAGAGCTGCCAGAATAGTCAATTTGCAGGGCAGAAGAGGCAATTTGCTCTCCATTGTCTATAACTGAGACCAGTATGGTTGGAGTTGAGATTCTAGTGAGACTGGCTGTGCGTTGTGTTAATAATAACTGTGTTCTTAACTTGATTTCTAGTTATGGTGACCATTTCTAGTACTGTATTGTCTAGGTGTAGAGTACTAGTCCTCCCCCCCCCCAATTTCTAATGCTGTCTAGGTATAGAGTAACATTCCTTTTTTTGGAATGGGGACGCTCTGGGAATGTGCATTTCCCCCCACCTAAAACAGGCTGGCTCTTCTCCTCTGAGGCATAGGAGGGAATTGAACTCCTAAAATTTGGCTCTGTAGCTAGGTACCCAATCACTTAGCTATCTAGACAGTTGTGGGTTGTGATACTCAGCACCAAAAGGTCACCGAAAGCTTGTGTAGCTAAAGCAAGCAAAGAAAGGCTAGAACTGGTGGCAGCCTATAATGTGCATTGTTTGTACTTTAGTATTGTGATATGAATAAGCATTTCTACTTTTGCAGACTCAAAGGACTTCCCTGATGATGCCATTCTGGGCTGGAAGGAAGCAGAAGGTGGAGTAGAGTAAAGCTGTAGTGTGCATCTCTGTGTGTTTAAGGAAGAAAGGGTGATCATGAGAAACAGATGGAGCCACAATGAATAGATATTATTGAAACAGGTAGCTATTGAGAGTATGAAGAATGTACTGAGAGAATAGAAGAGCTCTCTCTTTGCCAAACAGCATGGAAAGACTGGGGTAGGGGTACAGAACAAACACTCTCAGGCGTGTGCCTCCCATGAGTGGTGTGGGGAGGTAGCATTTGTGGATGCTTGCTATAGCAATTGGACTGCGATAAAGTCAGCCTCACTTTCAAACAGTTAAAACGTCCCCCCCTTCTTGTATTTGAAGACAATAATATAATTTAGGGATGGTGTCCATGTTCTGGGTGAAAGTAAATTGCTTCATACCCATCCAAATGAAGGGAATACATACCAAAGTGTGATACTGGTGTCTTGTTGTGAGACTCTTCACAAATGATGTCTCCCTTCTGTATAGAAGCACATATCTTTTTTTCATGATATCTTTGTAAAACTTCAGGGCTTTTCAGAATAGAAATGTGTTTTGGAACTTTACAGAATTCAGTGGTTGCTTCAGTACTTTTAGAAATATTTTCTATGTTTTTATTTTGATGACATGAAGAAACAACATAGGTCTTTCTGTTTGGCTTGGATATATAATGAATCTTTGGAGGGAATATTTCATCACAAAATTCAATTTCCTGTTGGGGGCACGAAGCTCGAACATTCTGATCATTAAAAGTTCTTCGCTTGTTTTCAGTTGTCATGTGGCTATCAGTTGGTGGAATGTTTTCATCTTGTAATTCTTTTCTCACAAACGTTTTTTTCTGATGATGAGAGTTTGGGTATATAATATGTGTCTTCCGGCTAGCTTTTGCAAATATTCTCCTTTTATCACTTCGTGACAACTCTTTGTGACATCTCTCCGTATTACTTTGATCTGCCTTTGGAACATCTACCACATAAGTAGATTTCTCTGTTATATTGTAGTTACAAATGATTTCTTTATTGTATCTATTCTTTGCATTGGTCTTTTCACTCTCTGTCTTTGCATATGAATGCTGTTTTGTGACTATTACTTCAGAGATCTCTCTCTCTTTCAGAGGTAAGCTTTCAGCAGAACAGCTTTTTAATAAGTCGTCACTGCTAGATGCACTAAAGTCATGTACTGTAGCCTGGTTGTCCAAATTTTTGACTGTTTCAAAAATGGTGTCTTTCACATTTTCTGTTTGTAAAATGTTTGTAGTTTGCTTTTGGTTTTCTAGATTTACTTGATGAATCTGTCTGTCCGTTTTGTTACTGTTCCTGACATTCTTTCCAAAATTATGTGGACTGGTATTCTTAAATTTTTCACCTTGAAATGTTTTTCTTTGGGACAACTGCTTTTTTGGTGGTAGATTTGTTTTATATGCAGTGCTTCTGGTCTTGTTGACCTTTCCATTTTTTTGAATATTTTTGTCATCTTTTTTGTTACATTTAAAATTATCTTTAATCTGTTTTTCTGTATTTGAATATTTCATTTCCTTCAAATCTGTTGACTTTTTACTGTCTTTAATTATATTAGTATTCCTTTCTCTCCCTTTTGATTTGATGATGAGTATTTCACCCAGTTCACTAGCAGTCAATTCCATATCAGTATCATATACTGTTTCTTCTGATGTTTGATCATTTGAAAAAGTTACTTTGCCTGTTTGAGCAGTCTCATTGCTAGGCTGGAAACATGATTGAATAGGTGGAACACCATTTGGGGCTATTTCATTACATATCTCACTGGTTGTGCTGACTATATCTGTTCTACAATGCAATGTGATTTTCTGATCTGTTTTTGTGTCAAAATCAGTTGGCATAATTGATTTGCAGAGCATGTCTTGTTTCTTTCTTCTCGTCACATATCCATGGATTGGAAATGGACTATTATGTGCTTTTGAATTATTTTCATAGTCTTCTACAGAAGATGCATTATCCAGATCCACATTCAAGGTATTGCTAGAGAGTCGCTCTACACTTGATTGATTTTCTGCAAAAAAAGAGCAAAATCAGAAAAACTGAACCAAGGAAGCATTCATATTTAAATGAACATGCTTCCAAATCCAGCATTTTTATTGCGAATGACTCCAACTATTCTCCCACTAAAAACCTCACTAAATTGGCAAAAAAGTATTAATAAATTATTTTTTCTAAGTAAAACCCCCAGAATCACAAAAGCATTGGTATATCAAGAAAATGAAAAAGGAGGCCTCAGCATATCCAGCATAGTAAAATATCATGCGACTTATCAGCTTTGGCACATATTATTATTTGTTTATAAATAATTGTCAAGATGGAAAATGGGCCCAAATGGAATTATTATCTAAATCAGCAGGAAAAACACATCTTTGTATTGTGTTGAGCCCCTCAGATTTCAAGAAAATTACAAACTCTTTCACCATTCATAAATGAAGGGGGAGTAAAATAAACCACTTTAGCATCCTCAATCCTTCCCTTGATGCCAATTTAGCACCACCCATTATTTTATTATCAAGATTAGAAATAGGCAAGAACTTAAAAATGAATGACAAGATCCATTAAAAAACCACTAATTCATCGATTTGTATTTGTACAATGAATTTTTAGCAATATTTGATTTGTTTGGCTATAAACCAGCTCAGTACTGTATTGGCATCAAAAATCACAGAGAAGCTTGTTCTAACTCTCTTCTACAGTGCCTCCAAGCTGGGTGAAGATTGGGTTTACCAAAGCCAGCTGCTAAAGGGCACTTTCCTGGGGGGGGGCACTTTGTGGGATGTCTGAAACCCAATACTTGGATGTCTGAAACCCAATACTTATGCTGATTGAACAATACATTACTTGCTGCACTCCAGCCACAAAAGGCCTAATATAATTAATCTAAAAGTAGTACTAGATACAATGGAATATACAAATATATGGTTAAAATCTATATGGAAATAAAATTGAGGTCTGGAGAAGGATTATGAAGACTGTAGGCACCTCCAGAGAGGATTGTATTGACACTGATGATCTAGCAAAGTAAATCTAATTTGTTTAGCTGTTGAGTGTTTTTGTGGAGGTTATCCATTACATCATGGGGCTTGTGATTGGAGAGGCCATTCCTATAAATTGGAAGATCCTAAATCCTCACCCTAATTTCTTCTATAAGACCAGCTGCGTGAAGCCATAAATATTTCCTTAGGGCAATGGCTTGAGAAAGATGTTTCACAGCATAGTCTGTGGAATAACCAGCCAACCTCACCTGTTGAGTCTCAGAGGTTAATGTTTCTTTAAGATATTTCAAAGTCCTATGTTTGTCATCCTCAGGAAGGCTGTCAAGCATGGGGTATATTTTTCCCCAGTGATAATCATGCCTTGAAAGTTTGTATGTGGATGGCTAAGGAAGTGGTGGAGTATAGACAGCATCTGAGGGACTCCATCTTATAACCCTTCCTATTATGGGGCATAGTGGCATAATGGTCCACAGATTTGGTATGAGTGGCTTCCACTATAATGATATTTGGCTGTGGGTGTTTAGAGAGAAATGCAGGGTCTTTATCACAAATTCTATAAAGATTCCCAACTCTTCTACAAGTGATCTGTGCTGTGGAAAGTTTGTTCCCAGCCTCCTTGACAAAACTAAGAAGGGAAGGTAACACTGCAAGTTGTACTGGAGAATTTAAGTCCTTGTTGATCTTATCATGGAGCGGGTCCAACTTGTCAGTAGGATGATACAGGTCCTTGCGAAGATATGCATCAGAGAATGCTGTAGACTGATGTGCCCTAGAAGAACATTTCTCAGAGTCTTTGGAAGATTTCTTCTTTTCAGAAACTTTAGAATGAAAGTCAGTCAGGACCAAAGTGTCTGCTGATGGTTTATGCTGTTGACGCTGATAGGTGGGAGACACACTGAAATGCAAAGGGGATTTTGAACAGTCAGAATCCAAAGTAGCGAAAGGCAAAGATAGTAGAGGATGGCCTATGTGAAGACTTCAGTGTTGATGGCTGATTTCAAAAGTTCTTAGGTGCAGGTGCTTCTGAATGGTAGCAGTAGCATGTTTGGTTTGAGCCCAGTCAGTGATGCAGAACGTGAGACAAAATGCTGTGAATAGGTCAGAACATACAGTTTTGGAGTTGACAGTGAGACCAAACTTGCTGGAAGTTTCTTACGACCAACGTGACCAACAGCCTTTCTGTTCTGATGGAGAAGATAAAATACTCAATGCCAGATGTGAAGTCTTGGTAGGATTAGGCATAAGCCCCTCAGCATGGTGCTGAAGTACATCTCACTGCTCAGAGCCAAGCAAGGCCTGGGGCTGACCATTTGGGTGACTTCAAAACCAAAAACAGGTGGTAATGATAGAGGAGAACCAAGGCATCTCCATTACTGGAGGAACCACTTTCCTGGTGTGCATCCTAGGATCAAAGAATGGAACACTACATTGCCATTCAGAAGATAAGGTGCTATGAAATAGGAGGCATTGAAACATACTGGTATGATGCATTCCAATTCTGGAGAAGGCTCATTGTGAAGATGATGATATTTACAAAAACATTATGAGGGAGGGGGCTTTTTTCTTGATTGGTATCAGTGGAATGCAAAGACTCACACGAGCACTGATGTGATTGTTCTCAATGTGGATGAGGATCCTGATGACATGGAATGTCACTGTCTTGCAATGGAGAGAGCTCCCTTATAATTTGTTGAACAGAATGGCTCCAATGTGGAGAGTGATTAAAATTTTATTTATTTATTTATTTATTAAATTTATACCCCAGCCATCTAGACCGAAGTGGGCGGCTAAAAGAGGAGAACGAGGGTTGCGGTGAGATCTCTTGGCTGGTGCTGAACCCAAACAGATCATCATCATCATAACTGTAGAACTGAAGAGCTAGGAAGCATTCTATGGATCATTGAGTCCAGCCCGTCAAGGAGGCACAGTGGGGATTGAAACTCCCAACCTCTGGCTCTCTGCAGCCAGATATTTAAGCTATGAAGTTATCCAGCAGTTCAATAATATAATATTCTTAGAACTGCAGAGCTGGGAGCAACTCTATGGATCATGAAGTCCAGCCCCTGTCAAAGAGGCACAGTGGGGAATTGAACCCCCAACCTCTGGCTCTGCAGCCAGGTACTTTAACTTCTGGGCTGTCCAGCAGTCCTTTCATGAGGTCAGCAGCATCCTTTTCCAGGAAGAAGCAGACTATGGATCAGAAGATGGAAGGGTCTTGGACCACTTCACAGACAGTTGCTTAGGATTTTTAACATACTTAGATTTCTTAACTGAAGAATAATCAGAGCCTGTTTTTTTTTTCTTAGTGTTAGATCAAAGAAGTTGATATAGATAGGGGTTTCAAAGTGGAACAACCCTTCAATGTCAGATGACCCTTTGAAACAGAAGGTAAATCAGAAACGGATGAAAAGCTGAGAGGATGTATGAGAAGTCAACTGGTCCATCTTGAGAAGATCGGATTGGGACTGAGAAACATTCAGGGAAAGTTTTGATGAAGAGTAGAAGGAGAAATGTCTACTTGAAGAGAGTTTTCCCACAAGCGGGGTCATAGACAGTTGTTTTTAAGAGGAAGTTTAGTGAGATTCCTGCAATGTAGGCAAGACTGGATCTGATGTCCTTCCCCCAGAGACAACAAAACTTCAAGTGGCTTCAAGGTCTTTTTAATTCCACAGATTAAACACTTTTTGAAGGGACCTGTAGGGTCCCTTAAAAGGATGGTAAAGTCCTGAGGGGTCCACAGAAAGATGAAAGAGAAACACTAACTAAATAAAAAACTATCCATAGAAATGACAGAGAATAAAAATGACGATGAAAAAATAGAAGGTAAGTTCAGTGAAAAAGCTCTAGTTAACTTTCCAGAAGCTTCCTCAACAGCAGCTAAAAGGAACTGAGGCAAAATGGTGAGAAGTGTGTGAATGGGAGTGTCTAAACAATCTCTCTCTACAGCTCTAGAAAGTTTCAAGGAGCTTTTGTGCAGATGCAGAAAACCCATATGTGTGATTCATGGAGATCATGAAGAAGAAGCATAGGTTAAACGGTGAAGGACCCAGGAATCTTATGTTATGTTTTTTGAACAATGAACAAAAAGCCTTCGCTAATACAAAAAAGAAACAGCTTTCTCCAACACTGGACTGTGAACATGGTCATTACTGTTGCTTCTTATAGTCTTCTCTGTTCCATATTGAGAATATTCTCTTGTTTGTTGGAGTCTAGGTTGGGACTTAGAACTGTGAGAGAGGCCAAGATGGAATAATGCACCTGGAGTAGAAAAATATGGAGTGTAGGGCCATGGAAGATTGCCGACCTGGGAGAGAGACCACCAGCAAGCGAATATCCAACCAGATGACAGATGCCCTTGCTGCCAAAGCTGGCATTAATTGAATCAGACCTCATGGATATTTATCAACAATGGGACTATCAAACCAATGCCCCATTCCTAGTTCATGAGAGTAATCCCTTCTGTATCCCATTGAGTAAAGAAGTGTTGTTGGAGGTTAACATGGATGTAAATAGTTTTTCAGATGTTCCAGAAATAAATGTTAAATGTTTTAAATTTGAGATGGAGTATTTGATAAATGATCTCAAACCAGGAACCGGTGAGAATCCGCCTAAACCTGAGAGACAACCCTCACATATAGATGCAATAAACATATTACAGTATATGGCAGCATGTAAAAGTCATCAAAGCATGTGCAAGAACCAGTTACCCTGGTACTGATCCTAACTGTGTTTTACGCACCAAGTGCAACTGGAATAGTTAACTGTGCTTAAAAGTCATGAGGGGATGGGATTGACTTTTACAAGAAAGTCTGCAACAGAGCATACCACAATAGCCATTTCAGACCGAAAGTGAGTAAAACTGGAGTTTTAAAGAATTCTTTCTCTCTAGCCCGCTGCCATTTTCTTCACCCTCTTTAGAATTGAAAAAAAAGAATGACTTTTTATTTTAAAAAACCTTTGTGCTTTTAAAAACATAATAGACATATTAATCCGTGTTTCTGGAAGTCTTTTTAGTTTTCATTATCTGTTAGAGTTTGTCCACATGGGCATTTATCCAACCCAGTAGTGTTATTACAGCTACAATTGTTTTGATATTTTGTAGTGAAAGCTTTTCCCTAAGAACTGTAGTCCAGGAGAATATTACTTTGACCTATATATATATATATATGTTAAAATGTCCATTTTATAATGGTCTTTTAAACAAAACTGCCAACTTGATGTAGATGTTGAAATTATGTTGTTTGGATTGTTCTGTAAATCAATCATTCTGTGGCCACACCCATGAACACAATATGAAAGAAATATAGGCCAGGATTGTATTAGTTGCATAAAAAACCCTATAAGGTGGTATGTGAAGAACTGCTTATAAATACAGCATACCTTTTGAAAATATATTTCTGACAGGTACTGTTTCCATTTTATTTGACTCACTTGAGTGTTGCATTTTTTCTGAAACAAATAACTCAGTATTCATCTGATCTGCTGCAGTTTCAGTCGATAGAACAGAAATCTGTTTGATACAGTCTTCTGCTCCACATGTAAATATTTTATCTTGCTTTTTTTCTTCATGTTTTGCAATATATGGAGAGTTCACATGTTGCCCAATAGATCTGAAACAAAATTTTGTTGCAAAAGAATTAGTTAGAGCAAATAATTTATTTATTTATTTATTTGATTTATATCCCACCTAACAGGCCCAAATCCTGTTGCTTAGCATAGTAACTTGTAGTGAATTCATTGACTCAATGGAGATTTAGTGAGTCAACTCATCCATACGTTCTGTTGATTCAGAACTACCCTAATGGGCCTATCCTAACTATAACTTACTACAGTAAAGTATGCCACAACTAGAGTAAGGCTACTTGAATCAATGGAACTTACAGAGGAATTGGCTCACCAAATCCTCATTGATTCAATGGCCTACTCTATTGTGATTTACTATCCCGAGACAATTTTGGGACAATATCTATTAATACAAAATTGAAAAATAAATAGAAAAGAATGAGTGTAAGCCGGAAAGTTTTTTTTTCAATAGTATAACAATAATGATTAAAAAAACAGGTGCTTCCCCCAGTTTTGAGAATGCTGTCTAAAATTTTACTGGGAATTTACAATGCTTTGAGTGTAAATTGCTGTGGTTGATTGCTACTAATTAATGAGTCATTACTCACATTCTTGGCTGTGCACCAATTGTGCAACTTGGCACATAAGCAGGAATATAAGTGGCAATTCACTGCTGTGATTTATGCAGTTATATGTACACTAACGTAATACCCTGCCTGGGTAGCACCAAAGACTGTGGTGGGGAAAGGGAAGGGGAAGAAAATTATGTTATGGTGATGCTGTAGTGCTAGCATGACATTAAATTTAGGCTTATTGATTAGCTATATTTTGTGTTCAGGATATAAATATTTTTTCTGTGAGTATGAAAACACTCTTAAGTAGACTTGAAAGATGCTGTTCATAACTCTGATCATATACTGATTTTGATGTATATTAAATAAACAGAATTATTAAATAAATAAACAGAAATATTACCGAACTTGGTGGTCAAAACTGTTACACTGCTCTTCTTCCAATGTTACAGATTTTGGAATATGCTATTAAAAAAAGATTATATAGTCATGCTTTGGAATATTAGGATTATTTCAAGGGATAAAATAATTAATGAGCATATTTGGTAATATAAAACTCAAAAAAAAAAGGGAAAAAGAGAGTAGAAACTGAGTAATAAACAGAGCTCAGATGCAGCTGCATAGCTACAAGAACTTCAAAATTTAGGCAAAAAGTTCCAGGAACACTGGAAGCAAGCAATGAAATTAGTAGATGGGAAACTAACAATTGACCAGAGTCAATGACTAAAGAAAAAAAATGACAGGGAATGAATTAAAACATGAAATGGAAATAAATTTGTTACAATAAGCAACAGGTAAACACTCTACTGGCCACAATCCTATTGGTGTTCTTGTAAGATTTGCATAGTTTCTTAGCTAATAGCAGTTAACTGGCAAGGTGCTGAAGTACCAACTGTGTAACCTCAGTGTAACCTGGCATCTTATCAATTAGCCACATTTAGTTAATTGTGGAGATTTTACATGAACACCAAAAGGATTCCAGCTTTTCATCAACATTTATGTAGTTATGCTTGTGTAAGGTAAACCATGTAACCATGCAGCAGTTCCTTGCTGACAAGTAATGAGTCTCTGTTTGGATTTTCAGGAGCTGCATAGGGTGGAAGGGATACATTAATTGCCAATGAGAATCTGCTGCACTTTGTATTATGTTCCTTCTACAAATATAATGTTGCAATAGGAGCTTGGCCACTACGTAGTATATATCAATACACTATAAAGCAATTCTCAAATACTTTTAATTAATAAGTGTTTAACAAAAATAACATATATGAATTTAGTAAACATTTATATAGTCCAAAAATATTTTTCTTGACATAATTGTTTCATAGAAATGTATTATCTTGTACATTTATTGAACAATATTTACAATAATAGAAAATACTCATTTTGAAAAATTATGAAATATTTAAAATTATGCAGCAATATTTTGTATAAATGTACCTTTAAAAAGCAATCCACTCTTTTGTATAGCAATATCACACTTTAAAAATATGTCTGTCTACATACAGAAGACATATCAACATTGGATAGGACACCCAATGTTCTGAATCAATAGCATGACCCATATCTTCAATTTTTTAAAAAAATATGTATCAGGAGCTAACTTCTAAAAAGATCATATAAAATTCAATATTGGTCTAATATCTGCATTTGTAGTAAAACATAATAATGCTGTTCAAAGATGAACACAAACAAGAGCTATACCACCTTGATCTATGAGATAGTAACATTCACACAATGAAAACATACCTCAGATATGCTGCTCAATTCAATTGCAGTTAAAAGATTATTATTCAAGAATGCTTCTATTTTGATGAGCATTTTATTCTGTGCATAAAAATATATATATTAGAAGACTTTAAATGTAAATAACTTTTATTTTACATAGTCAGCCAGTTAGAAAAACATGATAACATTTTAAAGAAAGAAATCTCCAGTGAGGCAGCTTTGTTAGGGTGCAATCAAACTGCAAGGAAGGATCATAACTGCCCACACTGGAAAGGGTCGCTCTGCTGGGAGCAATCGCCTTTAGAGCAATCCTTCCATTTATTCAGGAATTGCTCCAGCTCAGCCCCCCAAATGAATTAACCTGCTGCAGTTTGGGCATGGATCAGAGTCAGACTTGTTTGCAATTTCCCGCCTGTTGTTTGGTCATTGGGAAATAGCTTGTACCAGACTGTGCCACAAGTAGTCCAAAATTTTCTTCTTTTTCTTTTCTCTCCTTCTTTTTCTTCCTCTTCTTTCCCTCCCTTTTTCTTTTTCCTTTCCCATCTTGGATTAATCTGGATTTTATCTTAGTTTATTTTTTATATTATATGTAAACTGCCCAGAGTAGACCCGTTCTAGATGGGTGGTATATAAATCTAATAAGTAAATAAATAAAAAAGAGAGAGAAAGCACCAGAGAGATAAATTTCATAGATCATGTGGGAATGAAAAACCATTCAACTTGCTCTTATCTACCAGGAAAGAATTCCAGGGAACTTTTCCTCATCAGGTTGTTGCTTCTTCGCAAGGTAACCTAAATCAATAAAAGTCTTTCCTTCACTATTTCCAAGTAGCTTTATCTAGGTTGGCTTTCCTACTGCCTACAACTGAAGCCATTCCAAAAAAAGAGAAAAGGAAAGGAAAGGAAAGGAAAAAAAGAAAAAGAAAAGAAAAGAAAAGTAACAAAAGGTCTGTATCCATGGCCTTTTTGAAGACAGCTGCTGATATCTGGTACCATCATCTTGGGCATGCCTCTAACTAGCATTTGCAGATATGAAATAGCAGTGGTGGCTTCTTACATTGCTGAGAAAAGTCTCAGGAGTTGGAAACCAATTTCTGGAGCTCAAGACAAAATCAGGAAGGTTGGCCAACATAAGCGTCATGCTGGCCCTGCAAGACAAGACATGGTTCCACACAGGAGGCTGAGGACAAGTAGAGAAATTTGATTGATCTCCAAAGGAATCAAGATGTTGAAATAGATGGATAAAGGA